GCTCTCGCCTGGGCGCCGCGCACATTCGTCTCAGGAAAGTGTAGTAGTTTCGCGCATGTTTGGACGCCCGAAACCGACATGGGTACGGAAAGAACGGGTACAATGCCCCACAACAAATGTTGTCCCAAACCAACAGCGGCCGCTGTTGGGCGGACGGCCTTCTGTCTCGAATGGACACAGGCCGCGGCGGCGCGGACAGCGGATCCTGTTCAAAATGAACAGGAATTGCTGTTGGGCATTGTACCCATTCTGTCCGTACCCATTTCGGGCGTCCAGAGCATGGCGGGCAGGTCTGTTTCAACAGATGGCCTTTGCCGGATCGCCGCGCGCAGTCATTCGTCTGAAAAGTGTGCAGCCGCTTCACGAAAAGAGGGCGGCCCTCTTTAAACTGCTGCTCTCTCGCTAGCACCACGCACGCTCGTCCTAAAAGCTTGCAGCCGTTTTACTGACAGGAAGGCAAACCCTTTTCAAAACCTGGCTCTCGCATGAGCGCCGTGCCCACCCGTCTGATCACAATACCGTCAAATGTGGGCGGCGGCCTCTTTTCCAATTGCAGCCCTCGGCCCAGAGCCGCGTACATTCGGCCTACAACTATTCTCATGATTGAAAAAGATTGTTCTGGCACGGTGTAGGATTGCCTGAACGCTACGCCCATTTAGATCCGCGGTGTTGAAAAATAGTCGTGTTAATTTGCAGCGTTGAAGTCACACGATCTGAGTTGTTCGTGCCACTTGTATGTTTGCACAAATATACCTTCAAATGGAGTGTGCGGGGGAACTTGGGCGAGAGAGAACTGCGACATCGTGGATGCGCCTTGGGTTTAGAACGGTCCTCATGCATTCCGTATCCTCACAGAGGACCCTTCCCTGTCGCATCCCAAGACGTGTCGGCCGGGCGGGTCAAGCGGTTCGCCTGACACTTTCTCACCACTTGTGATCCTGAAGCTGGACATGTGCAGCAGTTTCGCAACGGAGGGCGGGTCCTTTCCAAAAACTGGCTCTCGCCTGGGGGCCGCGCACATTCGTCTTAACAGCGTGCAGCATCTTCACAAATGGAGGGCGGGTGGTCTTCAACATGTCGTTCGCGCCTTAGCGCCACATTCATTATGTTCAGACGTCTGCAACGACTTCACTGATGCATGGCGGGCCGTTTACGAAGCGTGGCTCTAGCGGTAGCGCCCGATGCAGCACCGCGCTTGCCAGCAGTGTCGCCTGAACCATGGCCGCGACGAGGGCGGGCAGGAGGGCTGCCCCGTAGCAGCCTTGGCTGCCTTGGCAGCCTGCATCTTCGGATCTACTGGAGTGAAGCGAGCCGCTGAGTAGTCACAAGAACAGTTCCAGTGCGTGCGGAATGATGGCGAAAAGGCGAAGATCACTGACTGTGCATTCACCTGTGGGAGATGCCGCTGCGACGGGGCGCAAGGTCACTGACTACAACAACCTTCAGGAATGGTTTACTTGAACCGAAGATGGCTTGAGCCAGAATGGATATGGAGAGAGAAATTGAAGGAGAAGCAGGAGGGAGGAAGAAGAACGAGGGGGGAGGAAGAGGAGGAGGATGATAATAAGGAGGCAGAGGAGTAGGCGGAGGAGGAGGAGGAGGAGCAAAGGGGGATAATGAGAAGGCGGAATGAAAAGGAGGAGGAGGAGGAGGAACAGGACCAGTGTACACCCTGGATGCGTCAACGATGCTGGCATGAACCTTCCCTCCAAATTCCCCCTTCATATGTTCCTAAACAAGAAGTCCTACTCAGTGCGAGAAGTCTCCCATTAGAAGACAAGCGTCTGAGAATCCTCTACCGTACTGAAACGCGTTCCTGGGACCCCAACGCCGCGGATCAACGTAACAAATGCATCTCGCAGGCTTAAGTCGTGCCAGAACACCACCCCTGGGATTTCGACACCGCGAATCAACAAGACGGCTGAGTCCTAAACAACCTTGACTCGTTCCAGAACACCGTTCCTCGGACTTCGGCCATACAAATCTCTGAACCAATGAAGACGAATGTGCGCGGCGCCAAGGTGGCTGTGAGATCTTGAACACCCTACACAGCCCATCCAACAAAGGACTGCAACATCTAAAATGAATGTGATTGGCGCTAAAGTGAGAGAGCCACATGTTGAAAACCACCCACCCTCCAACCGGGAATCTGTTGCAAGCATTCAAAAATAATGTGCGCGGCGCCAATTCCCATCAGCAAAGCTGCGGCGCAAAACGAACGTGCGAGGCGCTATGGCGAGAGCAGCATTTTGAAAACCACCCGCCCCCTTTCTGCGACGCTGCTCCAAGCTTGTAAGACGAATGTGCGCGGCGCTGAGGTCAGAGCCACATTTTGAAAAAGGACCAGCCCTCCACATAATCTCATATTTCATGATCATACTCGGCGAGGAAATCCCAAGCGAAACGCACGGCCTCCTAACCGACACGTCTGGGGGCGCGACAGGGCAGAGTTACTCATAAGGAAAAAGGATGGAGGAGGACTTGTTGCTTCCACCGCGGCAAGCAATCCACAACACCAGGGCCCGCCCAGCATATCTCGGCGGGTCGGGCCGTGCACGTGCAAGAGAAAAAAAGAGGGAAAGGGGAGGAGGAGAGAAACGACGGGAAAACAGAGGAACGCGGAGAGGGGGAACGCAGTGGCAAGCGGAGCGTTCCAAAGGTGGCGCCGAAAGCCCCGGACCTCCGAAAACAAATGTGTCGTTCCCTCTCCTCCACTTCAAATCGCGGTGGTCAGGGCCAACGTACTTAAACCTTAAGCCCCCTCCGGTCTGCGAGCCGCAGCACCTGACCCTAACCGACGGGAACGAACAACAGCCTCAGCTGGTCGCGCCTGGCCGCCTTCGCGGGCGAGCGCGCGCACGGCGGCGACGGTGCGCTGCCGATGGGACGAGGCGGTGGAGGAAAGGGAGGAGGAAGTAGAGGAGGAGGAGGAGGAGGAGGAGGAGGAGGAGGAGGAGGAGGAGGACGGCATGGGAAACCACGTAGCACTCAGAGGCTCTGGTACAGAGCGGTGGTTCGACGATTTCGGCAGTCCGAGAGGCAACGCGGCGTCCTCCGAGAGCAGCAGCACGCAACGATAACGTCGCGAACTACGGCCCCAGAAACACGAACAATGTGCGACAGCGGAGACGCTTCGCCGTCCAGGGCCCAGCGCGCATCCACGCCTGCGGTGGGCTAGGCCGACGCGCGGCCTCTGGGGCCAGGAGGAGGGGGAGGGGGAGGGGGAGGAGGAGGAGGAGGAAGAGGAGGAGGAGGAGGAGGAGGAGGAGGAGGAGGACGAGGAGGACGAGGAGGAGAATGGGAGGAGAAGGAAGGGGAACGGAAGGGGAAGGGCGGCAAGCAGGCATACAAGCAAGCAGCACGCACGCGGGGAAGGTACGGCCGCAGGGCGTGAGCCACCTTGCCCTGCTCGCCAGGCGCGCGCGCAGGGGGCGAAGGCGGGGGGCGGGAGAGAGGCGGTGGCGGGTAGCCGTCCGGGCGCCAAGGTGGCGCCTGGTTCACGGTCCGGCCAGCAGGTCTGGACCTGCCTTGCGGCCCGGCTACAAAAAGAGGCGTTGGCACCGCCACTCGCCGTCGGAACAGCCACGCCTCCGCGATTGTTTGGCCGCGAGAGTTCGGAAGATGGCCGTCGTTCGGGCGTGGGGCAAGCCATGGCACGTGAACACTGGAGGTTGGTTCGCGATGTTTTGCCGTGCCAGGGTGTCCGCGCGCGCGGAATAGTAGTTGCTCGATTTTGAGTCGGTACATGGTGGCCACGCAACCCAAGCCTGCGGCGGCGGCGTCGGGCGAGGCCACGCCGACGTCCAGGGCCAGTAAGCCGTTGCCCAGGGCGCCGGTGAGGACGCCGGCCGGTCGGAGCCGCGCACCTGGAACCAGGCGTGGGGCCTCAAGCTCGGCGCCAGGGTCGCAGACTTTGGCGGCGTCGTGCGCCCGTCGCACCATTGCGCGGCGCCCCCAGCTGGGCTCCGCGCGGCCGCAGCACAGCGCGTGCGACCCAGCCTGGTCCAGGAAGGCAGCGCCGCAAAGGCCACATGGGACGGGATCGAGAGGTCCTGCTGCGCCGACGCGAAGGCGGAGAGTCTCGACGAAGTCGGCGCAGTCCATCACCGAGCCCTTGTGCTTGGAGAGATTCCAGAGACAGGTGTGGTCGCAGTCAGGGTGCTCGAGGCCGTCGAGGTGCCGCAGTGCCGCGTCGTCGCCCGCGTTCTGGTGCCGGTTGCGGAGGTCGTGTCGGCCCTGCTCGTCGAGGTGGTGCAGAGCGCTGGCTGCAGGTGCAGCTGCCTTGCGCGCGGGGAAGAGTTGGGGTGTTCGTCGTCCTCGTCCTCGCCAAGGGGGAGCAGATTGAGGGCGATGCCCCAGGGGTGGGCGCGGCGCCCACGGGGGTTGCCGTGGGCGCCGCCGCGGGTCGAAGAGCGCAGCCCACCGCTCCTCGGCTTCCGCGGGCGACTCTGAAAGCGTCGCCACGACGAGGATGTCCTGCGCGGGCGGGATGATGAGGGCGGTCGCGCCGCGGCCCCGTCTGCGCGCTAAGTCGTAGGCTGCCCTGATGAGCCCCGCGTCACCCAGCCCTCCCTCTGCGAGGTGCGTCGCCATCTCGCGCGCGTGCGGTCTGGAGGATGCGCGGCTGGCCACGAAGGCGGCGAGCGACCATCTGCGTGGCGGTCCGCATGCCGAAGTTTCCTCTGCTCGTGCCGAACGCGCACTGCCCCCAAACCGCGCCAGGGAGGTCGCCGCCGGCAGCAAGCGGCACCGCGCCGCGGAGGTCGGTGTCGAATAGCTGCAGGCGTTCGCTGTTCACCCTGTCCCTGTTGGGCTGCAGCTGGCCGGAGAGCTTTCTGACGTCGGCGCGGAACCGCGTGAGCACCAGCTCGGTGGCTGCGTGCCCAACCTCGAGCAGGGCCAGGCGAGTGTCGCGGGCCTCGGTGAGCACGGCCCTGACCTGGTCGTCAAGCGCGTCGGGGCTGCCGAACCGAAGGGCGCGCAGAGGGCAAGCGCGGGCC